TGGAGGGAATGTTATTCTTGGATTTGTTATTTTTGGGAAACAGCCTGGAAGAGAGGGGCTGACGTGTTTTGTGTTTGAGAACGGGTGCCCAGGGACCACAGCACCCCCTCTAGGGCTTTCCTGTGAGTATTTGCAGGTTTGGTGTGAGGGCCGGGGTTCTGTGGGGTGTGGGTTCAGTTGCCAGTTATAGGTGAAGGTAGGAGGGCATGTCGCAGGTGTGGGGTGGTGGTAGGGGGTGAGATGTAGGTACAGGTCAGGGTTACAGGTGTGGGTTGCAGTTACGGGTGTGGGTTGTAGGTAGGGGTGTGCGTTGCAGGCACAGGTGTGGGGTGTAGGTATGGGCTGGGGTGTGGGGTATGGGGTGCAGGTGCGGGTTCTAGGCATGGGTGTGGATTACAGTTATGGGTGTGCAGTGTAAGTATGGGTGTGGGACGTAGGTACAGATATGAAGTGTAGATATGGTTGGGGTGTGGGGTATGGGGTGCAGGTGTGGGCTGTAGGCATGGGTGTGGCAGGTATGGGTGTGTGCTGTAGGTACTCGTGTGGGACATGGGTATGGGTGTGGGGTGTATTAGGTGTGGGTTGCATTTATGAGTGTGGGTTGTAGGTAGAGGTGTGATTTGGAGGGAATGTTATTTGGGTATGGACGTGAGGTGTAGGTACGGGTTGGGTGTGGGGTGCAGGTGGGGGTTGTAGGTACAGGTGTGGGTTGTAGGTGTGGGAGGTAGGTGCAGGTATGAGGTGTAGGTATGGGTTGGGTGTGGGGTGTAAGTGGGGGTTATAGGTATAGGTGTAGGGCATGGGCATGGGTGTGGGGTGTATTAGGTGTGGGTTGCAGATATGGGTGTGGGTTGTAGGTAGAGGTGTGGGGCATGGGTCCAGGTGTGGGGTGTTGGCATGGGTGTGAGGCAGGGACAGGTTGGGGTATGGGGTGGGGTGTGGGGTGGGTGAGCTGCCCTGGCTGGTGTGATTACAGTGAATCAAGACCACGGGGGTTGCTGGGGTTTCCCGGGTGGGGGTGCGTGGAGGCCTGAGAGCATGTCCATGGCTGGAACAGGCTCCCTCACTGTTGGGTTGGGCAGTGGCAGCCCTGAGGGCTTCGGTATGGGACCCGAAAGGCAGGGATGCTCCCAGAGAGAAAGGGGGTCTCAGGGCAGGCGTTGCGTGTGGGCTCCCTGGCTGGACGTGGGCCCGGTCTGGCGGAGTGTGGGGTCCCCAGCCACCCCACAGCTGGAGATCCTGTGGGCAGTGCCTGGGTGCTGAGCTTGCGACCTGGAGATCTGTGGGAGGTACCTGGGTGCCAGGCCTGTGCCCTCCTGAGCGTCACCACAGCCTCGTGGTGAGGTTCTCAATAGATCAGGACCCCACGTGGTGGCCTCCTGGCCCCTCTCATGAGGAGCTGGCTGTGTGTGGCCTTGGCCTGGCCTGAGAGGGCTGCTCACAGGGCCCCGGGCTTGGCAGGAGCTGTTGTCCCCGGTCCCAGGGGAGCAGGTTTTGCTGTTCAGCACAGGCACATTGTTCAAAGTCTCAGCCCAGGGCCTGCCCCGTCGGTTGTGGGGACGTGGGAATCCTCCTCAAACCCGTTTCCAGATGCCAGCCGAGGCGGCCCTGCAGGCAGGCCTGTCTCAGGCCCTGAAGTCTGCCCTTCTCACACACGGGGAAGGCTCCAGAAACACCTGTGGAAGGGGAGGTCTGTGTGTGGAAGAAACACATTGGACATGCATTTCCTGTTCTCACTCACGCCACCACAAGCGGCACACACACTTTCGTGTGCAGGAGTGCGTGGGTTTCTCCCCAGCACCGAGCCGGCAGTCAGTCCTGCAGGAAGCACTATGGGTACGGGAGCACCGCGGGTACGGGACACTGCGGGTACGGGGAGCACCGTGGGTACGGGGGCACCGCGGGTACGGTGGCACCGCGGGTACGGGAGCACTGCGGGTATGGCAGCACTGCGGGTACGGGAAGCACTGTGGGTACGGCAGCACTGCGGGTACGGGAAGCACTGCGGGTACAGGGGCACTGTGGGTATGGGAGCGCCGCGGGTACGGGAAGCACTGCGGGTACAGGAGCGCCGTGGGTGCGGGAGCGCTGCGGGTACGGGAAGCACTGCGGGTACGGCAGTACCCCATTCCTGGCTGGACGAGTCTGGGGTCTATTTGGGGGACGTTGCCTCTGCATGGCCTGAGGGAGGGTTTTGGGAGGGTTCTCAGCTGAACGGGAAAGGAAACGACCACTCCGGGTCCAGCCTTTGTGCCACACGTCCTTCCTTCTGCTGCTCTGACGCTGCGTTTTGCCTTGGCCCTGGGTTTTAGCATCACCCGAGCATGAATTATGGAGGCCCAGCAGCTGCCTTCCACAACCTGAGACGCCACAGGGTGTCGGCCCTCCATGTTCCACCTGGCGGCCTAGGGAAGGCGAGACCAGCGGGGCTCGGGCCAGCGAGGTGGGGGCTGTTCCTGAGGTTCTCTCTGGGCAGGGCTGAGTCAGGAGCCGGCTATACCTGCGCGTCTGAAGCTGCATCTCCTTGGGCCTGTGGGCCCTGCCCACCTTCCTCCCTCGGCGCCGC